CCAGCACACTAAAATTTTTGGCTGCCAGGCCGCCAGGCCGCTGGGCCGCCAACTTCACAAAAATGACAAAATAAAAAAAAATCTCTGAAAGTGATTTTTTCTTTTTATATATCCTTTAAATAACAATATTTATCTTTAAAACTTCACTAAATGCCGTTTTATTGTAAAATTAACATTTCCAGCACACTAAAATTTTTGGCTGCCAGGCCGCTGGGCCGCCAACTTCACAAAAATGACAAAATAAAAAAATTCTCTGAAAGTGATTTTTACTCTTTATATATCCTTTAAATAACAATATTTATCTTTAAAACTTCACTAAATGCCGTTTTATTGTAAAATTAACATTTCCAGCACACTTAAATTTTTGGCTGCCAGGCCGCCAGGCCGCTGGGCCGCCAACTTCACAAAAATGACAAAATAAAAAAATTCTCTGAAAGTGATTTTTACTCTTTATATATCCTTTAAATAACAATAATTATCTTTAAAACTTCATTAAATGCCGTTTTATTGTTAAAATAATATTTCTGTAACATTAATTTTTTTGGCCGCCAGGCCGCTGGGCCGCCAACTTCACAAAAATGACAAAATAAAAAAATTCTCTGAAAGTGATTTTTTCGTTTTATATATCCTTTGAATAACAATGTTTATCTTTTCAAACTTCATTAAATGCCGTTTATTGTTAAAATAACATTCCTACCACATTGAGATTTTCGGCCGCCAGGCCGCTGGGCCGCCAACTTCACAAAAATGACAAAATAAAAAAAAATTCTCTGAAAGTGATTTTTTTCTTTTTATATATCCTTTAAATAACAATAATTATCTTTAAAACTTCATCAAATGCCGTTTTATTGTTAAAATAACATTTCTTTTTTAATTTTAACATTAATTTTTTTGGCCGCCAGGCCGCTGGGCCGCCAACTTCACGCCGCCAGGCCGCCAGGCCGCTAGGCCGCCAACTTCACGCCGCCAGGCCGCTGGGCCGCCAACTTCACGCCGCCAGGCCGCCAGGCCGCTGGGCCGCCAACTTCACACATCTCGTTTATCATGTAACCTTCGATGTGACACAGTAATGTCATTCCATGAAAAGCAGCGACTGGTCCCGAAGTAAAATAATTCGTTTGTGTCCTAAACGAGAAAACAATCGGCGGAACTAAATAAAATGGAAATTTGAAAGGGGAGTCTGAGGTTATGAAACCTGTGTATTACAGACAAGACGTCAAAAGACAAATTAAAAACGCAGGCAACATATCCTAAGGGTGATTATACAGTATTAAAGTAGGAATACTGGAAACACCCAAGTTGAAAAATGCCAAATGGAAGAAACTATAAGCAACACATAACATTTATACACAAAAATTATGTCGTGCTGAACGATCTTCAAGGATCGAAAAGTATAACATCATTGATTAAATGTACGGAGATACTTTTTACAGCCGCCACAAGGCACAAATAACACGGATGTGACAATAAAATAGAGACACACGTTGCGCACAGAAGTAAAATTGGTCTAGGACAGGTCATCGCTGTACTACATATAGAGGTGAAGAACCTGTGTTTTGTCGTGTTAAATATGAAGATGATTACCATTGCTATACACTTCAATGAATAATTATCATAATGCACTGAGCAACTGACTTTTAGTTCAACAGATTTCAAAGAACAAGGGAAGACATTCATATCAGAAATTCAATTGAAACAAATTGAACTATTTATATGTATTAAAATGTTGATACATACATGGCTTTGAAACAGATATTGTAAATGTATATAAATTGAAATATTTGTTTAAGAAAACAGGAATTTGTTTCGTTCATAATGTTTAATAATATGTTTGCCATTATGCCTATTTGTTTAAATCTATACGCGCAAGTATGAATTTAATTTTCTAAGAAGAAAATTGTTTCAATTCTTGCTTTTAATATTTAAAGAGCAATATTAATATGAACTTTTTTAGTGAAAGATATCATTCCTTAATTTTTGTTGGCGGGAGTGTCGCGAATTGCACGGTTTTGTATTATAAATACATCTTAAAAGTTACATGGAAATTTAAGTTGCATAGGTTTGCTTTTCAACGATCATGCATTATGTAATTATTATGTAATTATGTAACTTACTCCAAGTTCGTATTACTGCTAATCATGAGAATTATGTCTGTTTGTATTTTGCGGGAAATTATTTCACTTATGAATTACTCCATAGACATGATATTTACCTATTTTTAATGACATTCATGTCTCTTTAAATTGGCGGGATAAAACACTATAAAAGTGAATTACCATATTTGTTATGTAGTGAGTGTTCTAAAAGTTTCGATAAAACGTGATTTAAAAGTGAAGTTGAATGTAAAAGTGAAAATTAAATCTGGATTTAAAGGTGATTGTTGTTGTTTTCAATGTAGTAAAAGTTAAAAGGAAAAACAGTTTTAAAAATCTGCTACAACTAACACTTAGTGCTGTATTTTGAGATTGCAGATTACTTCGTGAATTGTTAACACGTGACATTCATATATTCTGGTGCTAACCGTTTAAAGCTTTGAAGGTGTGCGTTGATTTTTTTATTGTCTGTATTGCACTGGAAGCCAATGAAGTTCTTATATGTTATACGATCATAAAAGCGAGGTTCTGGTAGTGACGCGGATAGCAATGATTTTAACGATATGCCGTTTTTGGTTATTTTTGAGGTATTGTTAACAGTATTGCGACGCAGTAATCAAGCTATGCGCGAGGTACTCAATACCGCCACAAGTTACTTTCATGCATCAATTGTCAGATAGATCTGATTTACCTTTTTACCTGAGGCCCACAATGAAGACTGGGCTTGCCCAACTGTGTTGCCTCATTAAATAAAGTCGTTACGTACTTACTTACTTACTTACTAACTTACTTATAAGCTGAGCATTAAACATGGTTATGTGTGAATCAATATATGTCTAACATTAATAGATGGTTAATTTTCAATTCACCAACGGTAACCAACAGAATGATAGTCAATGTATTTAAAGTTATGTGGAGATGAGAACAGAGTCTTAGATAAGATTTAAATTTGATGGTTGCAATGATAGAAATGTGTTTATATTATCTCATTTTCTAGTGTCTTTGATAGTAGTGTCTTTGATATAAAAAGTAGATTTAAAACAGGTTTATTTAATAAATTTTAAGATCAAACGTGTTACAAGATGAACAAATGTACATTCACTGCATATATTTACAGTTATTGAGATAACTTAAACGGTCACAACTTGTTTTTTATATATCAATTATCTAAAACTCATTGATGCCATCACTATTTAGTGTTGAGAATTGAGTACCGCTCATGTACAGACTCAATCAAACCGAGTCTGCAATTCTCTTGTAATTGTGTTGTGATTAATGATTCCGAGGGATCACTTTGTCTCCAGCTTTTCTGTTATTTCAGATAACAAAAATGAGTTTTCACAATTTCTTTCTCATACATTTAATTTATATCTGTTTTAAAATAAGTAATCTAGTAATTCAAAATCTTGGTAAACATTTTCACTGTTGTTAATTTATCGATCGTTTTAAGAAATAATTACAATTTCATACTTTGTGTTTTACTAATTAAAAGCTAAACGATAGGAAAATAGTAATGCCTCGATGTGAAGAATACAAATAATAAACACATCTTTACGTTTTAGTATTCACAAGTCTTGCTATTACTTCGTATTCTTATGAGTACTTATATATCAATAAGATAATCGTCATCATATAGCTATTCTACTTATAAGTGTACTCGGTCTAAACCCTATAAACCGCATATCAATAAATAGCACGTAACCAATATAGAAATTAACTACCCTGTCTAATTCATAAAGCACATATCCGAAAGCCTATTTTATGACTGTACGTTAAAATGTTCATTTTTTATCCAAATATTTCGTGCATTATGATCGATAATCTGATAGTACTTATTAAATAAATGTTTTATTTGTTGACGTATTCTAAGGGTTAAATCGCTATCAACTAAGAATTGTTAATGGTGTATAGTCAAGCCAATACGTTGTTTAAAGAACAAACAGAAATAGTTGATCGTACAGCGTCAACATCTAGATATTTTCGGACACATATTAACGTTTTCTTTATTTTCGCTTTTTGTAGCACTGAACTCCGTTCCGATCATGCCTTTTGCACACAAATGCTGAGGATATGTTGCTAAACTGTTATATTTTGTATATTTGTTGAAAATCGTAACATTTTAACTTTCGTATTTGCTATGAGATATTTTCTTAAGTTAATTGACTAAAACTTTCTGAGATGATGTTAACATAGTAGCAGAGGAAGTCAACGTGACATTGTGCAGACACATCATCAGAGATTTGAAATATATGTAATTAGTTAGCCTATTCATAACAAAATGCAAATTATTTGACATGCGCGTCAACTCAAACCAATGTCGTTAATACTGAAAATTACTAAGTAACTAGAGTAAATAGTTTGTAAAATTAATGATTTGTTGAAATGTTAAATAATAAACATAACGGTTATATTTGTGAATTATTATCCATTAGCGTTTGGAATGAACCGTCTATAAAATTTGTCACAGACTTTTGGGACAACCCTCGTATCTATTAATTTGCATAACTTACAATAATCAATAATGTTTACACCAACACTCGACTTAATTACATCATTTATATGGCAAATATATTCCTTCTTATTAAAGATTAAACATACTTTATCATACCCTCAACATAAACTGTTTTCTTTTTTTGTCAAATTTTCATCCATTTTTTTCTTTATTTTTCATTTCTATATACATTGATTTTCCACTTTATAGTACATTTATTTATATCTGGATGGTTACAATAAATACTTTTGTTTCTATAAAATCGCATATCAATGTGATGTGTAATTATAACATGCTTTAATACAATAAATATTTAATTATATAAATAAATTACAAATTATTCCCCTTCAAAAACTAATTTAAAATAATTATTATTATAAATTATTAAGAAAAATATTAATAAATAGATACATTACCTTTAAATTCATTATTCATTTGACCGTTTTTCACCACAATAAGTAAACAATTGACAAAATGCTTACTTTGCTTTAAGTAATACAGACTTATTAATTATCTTAAAGCGACACAGTGCTTGAATATTCTGTATGTAACAATTTCAAGGTAGTTTCGATTTTAAAATGCATGTAAATTTCTTCCTTTCTCGAAAACGCTACGTGAAATGTTATGATCATGATCATAAATATTGTAATGGGATAGGTGAAATCTTGTGGTATCACATAAAAGATGATAAAACAGACATAAAACGTAATTTAATATTTTAACAGATATAAAGAGCGCATACAAAAGTCCTCTGTTCTGTGTATCATTAGACGATTTTTGTATCAGATATTAAAATAAAACAGTGTGTTTGTGTGCGCGCGCGTTCGTGCGTGTGTGTGTGCATATGTGCGTGCGCGTGTGTGTGTGCGCGCGCGTGTGTGTGTGCTTAAAAAGGAACCATCCGCCCTTTCAGGCACTGAGAGTACGGACCTCGGACATGTACCCAATCATATGGATAAAAAAGCCTTGGCCTTACTGACAAAGTTCAAAGATCGAGACCTAAGAGAAATTGTCACAGGGGATGGCACGTGGCTTTATTTCGAGCCCGACAATAAACTCAGTAACAAAATGTGGGTAGCTAAAAACAGCGATCGCCAGTTGTTGCTCGACGTAGCAGTAGCGTTAAAAAGCTATGTATGCTCTATTTTTTGAGTGATGGAAAAGTGTCCCTTTTCACTGTGCCTGAGAGAGGTAATGTCACTAGAACATTTTATCATGACCACGTTTTCACTGCTGTAGTTAATCACTACATTTACAAAAGAAACCCTAAGGGTAGTATAAAAATTACTCCATGTTAATTCACCTGCGCACCAGTCAGCTTTGGTACAAGATTATTCACACGTCTGGAGTAGAGAATTGAGGTTTTGCTAGTCTAATAGTCCTGGCCCCTCCCCTTGTGACCTTTGGTTAAATCCATACATCGAATCATGCCTTCGCGTCTGTCGATTCGAAACCCGAAGCGCTCTCTTCCAATTTATAAACAGTATACCAATAGAACAGTTAAAAATAATGTTTTTTTATGGATTCTGAGGCTAGAAAACTATGTAGAGATCCATGGCGAATATTTGGAAGGACTGAGAAATGATCTTTTTTACAGGTATGACTTATCTATTAAAACGCTCTGCCGTTACCACTAATAAAACTAGAACTGCCACTATCATGGCGTGAATTCCCCCGCATACCACTTTGTCACAATCAACAGTGGCCATTTAGAGCTCAAGGACAACCTCCCTGCCAAATCTGAGGTTACTAAGCCAGTGCATTGCTAAGTTATGTATTCTACATGCTTAAAATGTGAAAATGTCAAAATCAATACATTGCGGACAGGACATTCTTTAGCAATTGAGAAGAAAAAGCTTTTTTTGTCAAGGTCCCTGTGACCTTGACCTTTGACCCAGTGACCTCAAAATAAATAGGGGTCACCTTATAGTCATGATCAACATCCATGCCAAATATGAAGACTGTGGGTCAAAGGAATCGTAAGTTAATGGGTGGACAAACTTTTTGAAGTCAAAGTCCCTATGACCTTGACTTTTGATCCAGTGACATCAAAATCAAAGGGGTCATCTACTAATCATGATCAACATCCATGCCAAATATGAAGACTGTGGATCAAAGGAATCTAAAGTTATTGGGCAGACAAACTTTTTGAAGTCAAAGTCCCTGTGCCCTTGACCTTTGACCTGGTGACCTCAAAATCAATAGGGGTCATCTACTAATCATGACTAACCTCCATTCCAAATATGAAGACTGTTGGTCAAAGGAATCTTAAGTTATTGGGCGGACAAGCTTTTTGAAGTCAAGGCCCATGTGACCTTGACCTTTGACCTGGTGACCTCAAAGTCAATAGGGGTCATCTACTAATCATGACTAACCTCCATGCCAAATATGAAGACTGTGGGTCAAAGGAATCTTAAGTTATTGGGCGGACAAGCTTTTTGAAGTCAAGGCCCCTGTGACCTTGACCTTTGACCTGGTGACCTCAAAGTCAATAGGGATCATCCACTTATCATGACTAGCCTCCATGCCAAATATGAAGACTGTGGGTCAAAGGAATCTTAAGTTATAGGGCGGACAAGCTTTTTGAATTCAAGGCCCCTGTGACCTTGACCTTTGACCTGGTGACCTCAAAGTCAATAGGGGTCATCTACTAATCATGACTAACCTCCATGCCAAATATAAAGACTGTGGGTCAAAGGAATCTTAAGTTATTGGGCGGACAAGCTTTTTGAAGTCAAGGCCCCTGTGACCTTGACCTTTGACCTGGTGACCTCAAAATCAATAGGGTCATCTACTAATCATGACTAACCTCCATGCCAAATATGAAGACTGTGGGTCAAAGGAATCTTAAGTTATTGGGCGGACAAGCTTTTTGAAGTCAAGGCCCCTGTGACCTTGACCTTTGACCTGGTGACCTCAAAGTCAATAGGGGTCATCTACTAATCATGACTAACCTCCATGCCAAATATAAAGACTGTGGGTCAAAGGAATCTTAAGTTATTGGGCGGACAAGCTTTTTGAAGTCAAGGCCCCTGTGACCTTGACCTTTGACCTGGTGACCTCAAAATCAATAGGGGTCATCTTTTAATCATGACTAACCTCCATGCCAAATATGACGACTGTAGGTCAAAGGAATCTTAAGTTATTGGGCGGACAAGCGTTTTGAAGTCAAGGCCCCTGTGACCTTGACCTTTGACCTAGTAACCTCAAAATCAATAGGGGTCATTTACTAATCATGACTAACCCCCATGTCAAATATGAAGACTAAGGGTCAAAGGAATCTTAAGTTATTGGGCGGACAAGAAAAAACCGACGCCCGGCCGTCCGGACGGCCGGACAGCCGGACGGACAAGCTGATTCCAGTATACCCCCCTTACAACTTTGTTGTGCGGGGGTATAAATATGTCCCTCGTATATCATAAATATGCCTTTTAAAAAGATAAATAACTAAAAATCAAATACAGTAGACAAAAATGGAAATAAGGCAAAAAGGAAAAGGCTTTATAAAACTATAAAAATGCTCACGAGTTGCAATACGGTACGTTTCGGTGATCTTAGTGAACATATACAATGAACCACGACCAAATTCATACTTGAACTCCTTATTCCTAAGATGTAACTATATGTCAAATTTGAGTTGAATTTGTACACCATTGGGGAGGTAATGGACGGAAACTAAAAATTTCTGATTTTTTTTTCAAAATTCAAGAGGAATAACTATGTCAGCTATCATAAAACATACCCATACGTTAAATTTGAGTTTAATATGTACAAATATTGGGGAGATAATGAACGGAAACTGAAATATTCCCTTTTCTAAAGTGAAAGGGGGCATAACTCTGCAAAAAGTCATGGAACCATGACCAAATTCGAACTTGACCTGTGCATCCTTTAACGATATATATCCATTCATCAAATTTGAGTTGAATGTGTAATACCGTTGGGGAGATAATGAACGGAAACTGAAACTTTTATATTATTTTCAAAGTGAAAGGGGCATAACTCTGCCAAAAATCTTCGAACCATGACCAAATTCGAACTTGACCTGTGCATCCATTGACATATCCATATGTCAATTTTGAGTTGAATGTGTAATACCGTTTGGGAGATAATGAACGGAAACTGAATTTCTTATATTATTTTCAAAGTGAAAGAGGCATAACTCTGCCAAAAATCATCAAACCATGACCAAACACGAAGTTGACCTGCGAATTCCTTTGACGTATCCATATGTCAAATTTGAGTAGAGCCTGTAATATTGTTTGGGAGATAATGAACGGAAACTGAAAAAGTTCATATTATTTCAAAATGAAATGGGCATAACTCTGCTAAAATTCATCGAACTATGACCAAATTCGAACTTAACTTGCGAATTCCTTTGACGTATCCATATATTAAATTTTAGTTGAATACGTACACATATTGGGGAGATAATGAACGGAAACTGAAAATTTTATTTTATTTTCAAACTGAAAGGGGCATAACTCTGCCAACAATCATTGAAACATGACCAAATTCGAACTTGATCTGAGCATTCCATTTACGTATCCATATGTCAATTTTTGAGTTAAATGTGTAATACCGTTAAAGAGATAATGAACTGAGACTGAAAATTTCATATCTTTTTAAAGTGAAAGGGGCACAACTTTGCCAAAAATCATCGAACCATAACTAAATTCGAACATGGCCTGCGCATTCTTATGACCTTTCCATATAATAAATTTGAGTTAAATATGTATATCTATTTGGGAGATATGCCGTTAAAGAGATAATGAACGAAAACTGAAAATTTCATACTATTTTCAAGTGAAAGGGGCATAACTCTGCCAAAAATCATCAAACCATGACCAAATTCGAACTTGAACTGCGCATTCCTTTGACGTATCCATATGTCAAATTTTAGTTGGATGTGTAATACCGTTAGAGATATAATGAACGGAAACTGAAAATTTCATCAAGGGGCATAACTATGTCAAAAATCATCGGACAGTGATAAAATTCTTGAACTGTTTTTTCTCATGATATATCCATATGTCAGTTTTGATTTGAATGTGTGCAACTGTTACTAAGATAGTGAACGGAAACTGATGATGACGGAAGGACGGAAGGACGAAACAGGGTAACACTATATGCACCAGCCATTTTATGGCGGGGGCATAAAAAGCCATTATACTCTTAAGGTCATGTTTAATTAATTCCAAAACAGGAAATATATACAGGGTTATATTTCTGTAAAGTGGTTTTACTTTCTAGTATGTCAATATGACTAATACTCTTTTTAAATCATTTTTACCAATGAAATACCCTAATGCAGATTTTACACCATGATATTATTTTTACGTAAGAATTTATGAACGGACATTTACACAAGCAGGAAGAATAAAGATAAAAAATGGAATGAATGAATATAAACATATAGATTTGCCTTCAAATTTTTTTCCAAATAAAAGAGACTCACAGACCTTTTCGAAGATGAAGTCTCCGGTCTCGCGAGACCGCAAAATAATGCAAGATGACGAGCTCTGGGTAATCGGTGTAACGAGATGGTTCACCATGTAAACAAATAAAGTTTACCACTAAAACGCTGATTTCAGGCATTTAACTAAGTTTTAAGTAAAGTGTTGTTATAGTTTATCATTATTGCTAAGAATTTTATAACACTATTAGAATGCATTCGTAAATTAGAGGAAGTACTGTCTCCAGTTCAAGTAAAACGTGGGTAGGGTAATGTAAACAAAAACAGCTGATTTATCATTTATATCATTAATTAATACTTCGATGTTTAGGGTTAATTACTGAATTTGTGGTTGATATTTATTTTATTGCATTGTTCATTAACTAGGTTTATGAAATTTAAAAACTGTGATAAATATGGTAAATAATAGGCCCATCGCATGTGTTATTTTTAACTGTAACTAATATATTTGTCACTCAAATTAAACTAACCAATTTATTAAACTTAATTTCCAGTTACTTTGGGTTGTGGTTATTGCTGTGTGCCTTTGTGCGACCATAAGAGAAGCCGCGATAGTCTATGTCAAACTTTCTACACAATACGCAGATAACCAAACTGGCTATATAAACAGTGGCAGACACGCATTTAAAGGTATTACTAAGATGACACGAGGAACAACTCAGAGGGCGTCCTTGGGCGTGCCGTTCTTTTTGTTCTTCTTTAACCGGCTCGCGGTGAAGTCGCTCTAACGACGCGAACACGGTCCGAGAACATTGTTCCCGGGTCAAAATTTCACACTACCTACTAACCGGGAGGACCGGGAATTACTCCAGAACAAAATGGCGGAAATTGAAAGAAAGACAAATGTTAACATAATTCATAGCGTAAAATCTCTCTTAAGACGTTAAAAGAATGTTGTAAATTAACGAATTACAACAGTATACACTGATAACCGTGAATATAGATTACATACAGTGTGTCTAACGTCATTGATAGTACATGTGGTTGGCTAAGGGCGTTTCGTACTCAACTTCTTCGTAACTGTCAAAATAATTTCATGGCATTAGTCAATTTAAAACAATATAATATTAATATATTTTTTATGTTACACTTTATTATTCTGCCCACATAATTCTCGTATTTTACTTGTTTTTGTACACGTGTAATAGTTTTGTTCAAGCTCACGAGGTGGGATTCCTTGCGCCAAAATAATGGTGGACCAAAGTGTTTTTTTAAATGACATGTACATATTAAATGTAAATCTTGTTAGATCTATTTATATGTTACATAAATGTGCTAGTCTAGAAAAATATTTTATTAATAAATAATTGAAATCTTTTGGATTTCAGTCATTCCTCTCAAAAAATTTGAGGGGTGAACTGTTTTACCAATTTAAGGGGGTGAGTTGTCTTCAGTTTTTGAGGGGTGAGTTGTCTAGTTACTTTTTTACCCCTTGTGGTATACTATGTCCAATACTTTAACATATTAACTTTTTTCTTTCAGATGTCTAATATAGATGGACGCTGGACTTGTTACCTTTGCCACCATTGCCCTTCTTCAGCTAATTATCAAAGCTTATCAAAACAAGAAGACAGTAAGAAAACGATTGTTTTTGTGGATACAGATTACAGGTTCTTATTTAATCATGTTGATATTGCTTGATTATGTAATAATATGTTAAAGATCAATTTAGTATGGCATGACAATTTATATAATGTGGCATGAATTAAATGTGCCGGCTGGATTTTAGAAATGTATAACTGCTTAACAATTTAAAAGGAACAACTCTCAGTGCAAGATCTATTTCATTGCGATAGAAAATAGAATCATATAGCATTTTGTATTACAATATAAACTTACAGTTTGAAAGCACTTCCAAAAACATATCTGGTTTTGGTAGTGTTGTTACCAGTGGAAGAGGTTTTTGATATAGTTAGTATAGTATATTTATTCTCTAATTCAAATCCATGTTGACTTGATCCAGTTGCCACCCATTAAAAATATTTGGATATATATTATTGTATTGTACTTTGCTTAAGAAGTTACGATAATGTAAGAGAAACTATTTTCAGGTTGTATCTGCGCTGTTGCCATTGTCATTTAGCCTTTCATCCTCAGTGTGAAGTGTTTGAGCTAGAGCTTATTCTTACTGGCGAAGTAAAAGAAATTTTGTGCACACCTTGCGCAAGCAAAAATGGCTGATGATAATAGGTAAATAAATGAGAAAATAAAGTTATCAAAATATTATATCTGCATCAAGTAATAGTCAACATCTTTGATGTTATAATGTGGCTGCCAGTATTTTTATTATTGTGAGGATATTATTGAATTTGGTTATTAGTATATATATTAGTATATGCATATATTAATATTGAAATATTTATTCATCATATTTATTTTTAATTCAAGACTTTGAAATATGAAAAACTTTTTAAACACAATGGTGAAGTATTAGTTTGTGAAATTAAGTCTACATTCCTGCTTGTGTATTTGCATGAATTTTCATGCCATTGCCACAGTAATTGAAACGCTTTTCATGTATCAGTTATAACTGTTATAGCACATTATCATAAAGATGTAGACAGTTTATTGTAATTATTCATCAAAATTGTTTAGTTGTTTTTGATAAATATTGGATCTCCTTAAAAGCTTTAAGTTTTTTTATCATTTTTTCAGACTTGGTAAAAAACATGTAACACAGATAATTGTTTGACTTCTTCTTTTCAGAGTCTATGTACAGTTGGAATCAAGTGGAGGTGGCCAGACTTTACTTTTGGTTGATAGTGATATGGCTAAACAATTACAGAATGGTATGATATATTATTATCTTAAATTTATGACATCATTATACATGTATGAATTGATGTATGTAACCTTCAAGTCAAAAGTAGTAACAAGCATACCTAGGATTCCAAATTTACATAAAAAACCAAGTTGATCTGCAAGACCAGTTTCTCTACATACCATCACAAACTCCAGTTTCTCACTCTCATTTTTAAAAATTTATAGTCTTTAATTAAGATATGCTAAAGAATAACTTAGCTACTAAGTTAATGTGTTTGTTTATATTCATCAACAGGTCAGCTCTGGGCAGGATAATGAACATGTAAAATTATTACTGGTAAAACCCAAATCATTAGTATGATCAAGTATTCTGTTATACCAACTGTTTCAGATAATTTGTTTCAGATGCAACTTTCCGAAGAAAATTTTCAAAGGTGCCTCCAAGGATCAGAAGAAAATAAAGCTGAAGACAATTCATGTAAATCTGAAGAAATAATGAAAGATGATAACAAAGGAGGTATTGTATACTGTATTACAAACTTCCTGGTAAATCTCAAAATAAGCTAATATATCTGCATAATGAATAAATACTTTTAATACTTTCCAACTGACTGGAGAGGTGCATGATATGTTAAACACGATATACATGTTTACATGTATGTTAAGTAAATGGCATAACAACTTTTGAAAAAGGAAGTAAGAAATTAGATGGCTTCTTAACATCAAAATATCATTAAATATGAAATCTAATGTACTGTCCAAATCCAATGATAATCCAGTGCAATATCTGAACATCCACAGCTGTTAAGTTATTAAAAGGTAATTTTCTGTATATATCTTTGCAGAGGTAAGATGGCAACCTCAAGCTACCCAGCTACTTGTTTCAATGCGTATTGAAAATGATGTAAAATTCCACATGCAGAAGACTCACTCAACTTTGTGGGATGAAATTTCAGCAGTTTTGAAAGAAAAGGGCTACATTTTCACTGGGAAACAATGTAGCAACAAATGGAAGTCTCTAAAGAGAGACTATCGGGCTGTTGTCGACCACAACTCCAAAACTGGCTCAGACAAGAAAACTTGTAAGTTTTTTGATGACTTTAATCAACTCTATGGAAATAAGCCAAGTACCAGACCAAGTTTTACTATCAATAGTGGTTCCACTACAAGTGCATTATCTAATCTTCAATGTACAGATGCTGGGTCAAGGTCAAATGCAGAAGTTTTCGCCAGTGAAATAGAAGATACAACTGACAGTGAGGAACCACCAGAAAAGAAACCAAAAACACCAGGCAGAAAAATAAAGAAAAAAGAAACTGGTGTTGTTAGAATGGTTAGCTTTCTTACATCTTACCAGGATGCCCAAAAGCAGATGCAAGAGGAGCATGAAATGTTTGTAAAAGAACAGAATGCTGAAAAGCTTAAAAGATTTGATCAGTTGTTGGACATTTTAGCCAAAAAGTAATATTATTTGTCTTCCATAGAAGATAATTTTAGTGACAATGAGGACCTTATTATGTGCCCATCATTTGTTTTCTTTTCTATAAATAGTTGGATAAGAGGTTTATCAATTTAATACATTTTTGTTTATATTTCACTGTTCATAAATAGTTATATTTACCATAAGCTGTTTTATTTCTTAGGATTGAAAGGCAATAGCACTTGTCAAAATTGTCATGAAGATTTTGTTATTTCCAACTAGTCATATTTGGTACTCATCATTATGCCATGTACACATTTGGAGAAATTGTTAGAGTTATATTCATTATTGTTGAAAGGCAATAGCACTTGGCAAAATTGTCATGAAGATTTTGTTATTTAAAACAGGTCTTATTTTGTACTCATCATTATGCCATGTACACATTTGGAGAAATTGTTAGCAATAGCACATGGCAAAATTGTCATGAAGATTTTGTTATTTAAAACAGGTCTTATTTTGAACTCATCATTATGCCATGTACACATTTGGAGAAATTGTTAGAGAGTTATATTCATTATTGTTGAAAGGCAATAGCACTTGGCAAAATTGTCATGAAGATTTTGTTATTTAAAACAGGTCTTATTTTGTACTCATCATTATGCCATGTACACATTTGGAGAAATTGTTAGAGAGTTATATTCATTATTGTCATGAAGATTTTGTTATTTCCAATTAGTCATATTTTGTAGTCATCATTATGCCACATACACATTTGAAGTACTTAGTTATATGTGTTATTGTTGTGATTTATTGATAATTATTGTGATATTTTGATTGTGTAAATGGCATCATTATTCAGTAAGAATTATGTTAATGATCTCATTATTCAGTAAGAATTATGTTAATGATCTCATTATTCAGTAAGAATTATGTTAATGATCTCATTATTTAGTAAGAATTATTTTGTATTTATTTATTGAGTTTATGTTGGAACTTGGCTTTCTACACAAACAGTGTAATAAAATTGAAGTTAAAGTTATAGTTTTGTTGCATTATTTTTTTTTTTTGATGTTTACATGTAAATTATACAAATACTTATTGCTCCATATAGATATGTATCACCAATCATACTATGAGCTTTGGATGAAATTTGAATTTTCAACGACTGTTGCCATGGAAAATGAACATATGTTTTTGACCCTCAATAATGTCATTTATTTTAAACAAAAAAGTATGCTGCATCATCAAATCTTACAAAGTATTTGCTATGGTATCCCGAATTTTTACAGCGTCTGCATTGTTTGCAAATATGTTGGGATAGTTGTTGACATCCTGAGCTTGATTCATGTCAATGAACTGTTCAATTTCATCTTCACATAAAATACATAAATTGTGTAAGACACAAGCTGCTAGAACTACTTTACAAATATCTTCAATGTTATGACAATACAATTTCTGCAAACGTCTGAATCTGCCCTTTAAAAGTGCATTAGCTCTCTCAACACATTGTCTAGCAGACGATAAGGCACGATTAAATCTCCTTTGATTGATTCTTAAGTGACCATTGTCACGGTATGGAGTAATTAGCCAGTTCTTCAGTGGATATGCTCCATCCCCAATGATGAATTTTCTGGTAGATAGTACTCTTCCAGTTTCTGCATTATTGAAGAATGCAGAGTTTCTTAAAACTCTAGCATCGTGTGTGCTTCCTGGCCATCCAACATACGCATCCATTATCATTAAATTGTCATCAACAACCAACTGCAACTGTACCGATGGAAATCCTTTCCTGTTAATATAATCATTTTCACCACCAGGACAATTCACAATAGGTATATGAGTGCCATCTATTACACCCACTATGTTATCAATGCCACATGAATCATAAAATGAATAAGAAATTTCTACTTCCCTCTGAGCATTAGCCATTTTTATGTAACAATCACTTTTATCACAAATGCACTGGGCTACACTGTGAATAATTGTATTAACACTCCATTCACTCAGTCCAAATAGCAAAGCTATTTCTCTTTGACTGTTTTGATTAGCAACATACCACAAAAATACAAAAATCTGTGTCTCAACAGAAACCGGTTGATAGCCTCCATGAAATTCTTTGATCAAATTTGGGGTCAGTTTGTCAACAATATGCTGGAATACATGCACACTAACACGAAAATGACGGCTAAACTCAGCACTAGACATTTGATTTACACAGTCCAAAAATGTAGTGACTTTTCGTCGTTCTGTTTTTTCAGCAAACAGTCCAGCACAACAAGCCAATGGATAATGTCAGAACTAAATGGTGCATTATCATTCTCAAATAGGTCTTCAAGGCACTGGTAAGTTGCTAACATACTAGCATCCATTTCTCAAATCATTAACCTGAAAAAAGTAATAAAATGCAGGTGTTGGTTTCATTCAAAACAATTTACAAATGAAAATATAATAACCAGCCAAATTAGTATTTCCATGTTTACACATAAGTAATGAGTGTATTTGTTAGATCAACGTCACTGCAGTACTGTAGACGTAAACATATCTTAGTTTTGTAAACATGCTTGTTTGTGTCCAGAATGAATGAAATCTGTGTGATTCTAATTGATTTTGCAGTAGAAACAACTGAAAAATGATGTACCATTTAATAAATGAAACATTACAGAATCGTGTTTAATGTAGGCCCCTACATGTATATTTACTAATTAAGCCTCATAAAAAAATATCGCGAATATATGTTAAATTAGGTTTTGCAAAAGAAAATAAGTTCAATGTAATGCATGTGTCCTAGCGAAATGAATAACTACGTTCTGCGCAATATTATTTTCATAAGGAAGTCATATAATCTTGGCAAAACTGTATATTTTTAACACTTAACGCCTCTTGCCATTTGTTTACTTTACCTGTGTTAGGGCATTTCGACACTAGTTACGTGTGACGACTCACTCGATTAAATCCGTGGAACAAGCGCCCAAGGACGCCCAGAAAGTGGGAAGCAACAGACAACCATCGTCTTCGTGACTGTCATTTTACGGAGGAAAAATCTAAAAGGTCGTAAGCCATCAATATTTCTTAATATATTGAAAAGCACAAAAAAGCAGAGAACCACCTCAAGGCAACCAATCGAGAATATATTCCTTCCAATGGCATATCAAAAGTAAACCAAAAACACTGCATTTTGTAAGTAGATCACCCTTTGTATTGCTTTAAATACACTTTGAACTTTGTATAACTTTTACTTTAAGAAATAAATACAAACAAATTGCAAAATAATGCAAAATATAACCTTATGCATGTATGTATGTGCTACATAAGGTCAATATGCAAATAATTACCCGACACACAAGTATTTGCTACATAAGGTCACAGTTATCATCGCATTTATTCATATAACTCATTTTTTTAAAGTTTAAATGATGTATTAGTTCTAAGTTTTCCATGAACAGGCTCAATCAAACCGAGCCTGCAACATTTTCAATTTTGTCGTGTTGGGCTTTCTTTAGGCATTCTGTATTTCTCTATTCCAGGCAACTCCATCACGATGCGAAAATTGTGACTTGAGTAAATTCTCTTGTAATTTTGTTGTGATAAGTGCTTTCGAGAGATCACTTTGTTTCCAGATTGTGAGTGACATAGCAACAGATAAACAATTAAGAGTTTATGTTTTTAAAATGAAGACTGAAAGATACTAGTGAGTTGACCAATTTCGCAATTTCAATTATGAACTTATCACAGTAATGTTGATGAATATATGTATATTTTAGCAAAATGTCTCACATAAGAGTGGCGTTGTGGTCGAGTAACGTGTCTGTAAGGCAACCTGACCGCGACGGTTCAAAATAGAGAGAAATAAGAATCCCTAAAGAAAGCTAAACACGGCACAATTGAAAATGTTACAGGCTCGGTCTGATTGAGCCTGTTCATGGACGGTACTGTCAACTGCAAACTACCGTCCACGCCCCCTAGCACCGGCTTAAGCAGAATTCAACATTTAACATGAACTGGTACAATTTTGAAATTTGAAACATCCGCAGATGTGTTCATATGGCGGTTATCATGGAACCTTCAATGTGACACTAAGTGCCATTCCATGAAAAGCGGCATAGGTCCCAAAGTAGACCACATATCCTAAGGGTGGAAGAATACTGGAACCACCCAACAAGAAAGATGCCAAAAAGAGAGAACGAAAAACCACAAGCACACAATAATGTCAGGGACAAAATATGATAAACAAGATTGACAAGGAAAGGCGGCGTTCAATAAACGCAGCCCCCACCCGACCCAGTAACAAGCGTCAGTGGCAAGGAGCCCAGGACCCAAACAAAAATAGGACAGGGCATAAGGCAGAGCACGGGCACATAAGAATAAGTAATTAGTAACTGATAAGGAACTAAAAGAAAACAAATAAATGATTGAATATTAGGCCCATAAAGTCAAAAGGCACAGGGAAAGGGGACATGAGACCCGGGGAAGGGGGGTACAAATAAAATAAATAAAAACTAGGGGCAAAGGGGAAGATACTTACCGTAGACGAGAAACAACAAGAGACACAAAAGTGTCAGCATAACAGTATAAAAAAACATAGATATACATCTGAGGAACACAGAGGGGCGCCGCCTTGGAACGGTCAGCAGCATAAATACTGCTGGGGAGTTTAAACCGGTTAATGGTGCACCAAACCTACAAGCCTTTGTTTCCTTGAGCAAGAAACTTTACATCATTGCTTAGTACTGGTAAGTACCAGGAGAACGGATTCAAGAGTGTTGCTATAAGCATATAGCTTCCAACACAACCGAACTAAATTAAATCTCTTTAAGCTAAAAAATATAGCTAATAAGATTGAATTACTTGTTTTGTTTTTGTAGTTTTTGTGAGATAATTATGTACAAACATTTTATTTAAATTCTATACTTTAAGTAGTTTACGATTATATTGCCTTTCATGTACCTTTAAAAGAACAAGATCACACAAAAAGTGTTTATAAAAAAGTATCCATTTAAGAACCTTTCAAAAACCTAGGTAAACTGTTGACTAAATAAATTACACAACGTTCTTATAGAATATTTACCCCATAATATTATAATAACTTTTTATTGACAGAGCCAATGCAGAGAATAATATATGATAAACAAGATCAACAAAGGAAGGCTGCGTTCAATGAACGCAACCCCCATATGTTGAAGAGGAGGAGATGTGGGCTCCTCATGGTCATGATTATATGAAGACACATACATTGGGTCATCTTTTGAACTCCTTGAAAGAGAACAGAGTTTTTAAGTGTGTGTTAGAAACTGCCAAAGTAAATGAAGATCTTGCAGATAATTTTAAGTCTGTTGATGACAATTGGCAGATTCTCTCCCTGCGTTATGCTAAGGCCAATCCAAAAATATTCAAGTACTATATAATCTTTTTTATCAAATGAAGTTTGTGAAGCTTTATATAAATACTTAGAACCTAATGCTTGTTTTAAGAAGTACCCATATGGAGAAAGAACATTTTCACATTCGCATTTCCGAATTTAGTTAAAAAGAGGAAATGTTTATGACTTTAGTACGTTTACGAGTCGTCGCAGACACGGCAACTAGATATGGTTTTGCTGAGTCAACATACTCAAGCATTTTCACCGCATGTATATGTTTAATGGCCATATAATTGGAGAAAATCTGCCGAGTAAAAAATTATTGTGACAATCTAACTGAAAAATCTGAGCGTTCTCTGAATTATAGAACCTGAAAATAATTTAAGATTATACTGAACTGTTTGCAGAAACGCTTTCTTTATTGGCAGCACATAAAAACGTTTTTTCTTCTAATGACAAACATCATAGTACTATGATATTTAAGTAGGCGTGTACACGGGTGTTGCAATAACAAACATAGCGGAAATGTATGGAGGACAATCTTCTGACATTTATATAATAACTGAAAGTGTTGATTTACTGGTTGCGCTTAATTCTGAAGAAAAGATGATGGTTGGCAGAAGATTTACTATGTCAGGAAGAAAAGATGATGGTTGGCAGAAGATTTACTATGTCAGAAAACTTACCGCCTAGTGTCAATTTGATTATGCCATCATTTAAGTACTAAAATAAATCGCAATCCACAAAGGAAGAAGTCAAACGAAACAAACAATCTCGAGTAGCTAGAAGCTAGAGTATATATAGAACGCGACGTATAAACAATTTAAAATATTTTGAAGAGATGAAAATGACACAGAAAGACATATATGAAAATAAGTTTCAAACATGTGGGAGTCTCGTCAGCTTTCAGGATCCTTCCCTAAAAGTAACTTTATGCTGAAATCCTGGATGAAGTAGTGTCTAGACATAAAAACATTCTTGGATAAAAAAGTCATTTTCATTTTCATTTACTTATTTGTCTTCTGTACTTCATTTGTTGAACCTTCCTGATATAAACTATATTGACCAAATAGAGCATATTCAAACTCGTCATTCTTGGTAGCACAAACTGTTAAAAAATGTAAGTTCATGTTTAAATGTTGAATTCTGCTTAAGCCGGTGCTAGGGGGCGTGGACGGTAACTTGCACATTCCAGTACTGTCCATGAACAGGCTCAATCAAACCGAGCCTGCAACATTTTCAATTTTGCCGTGTTGGGCTTTCTTTAGGGATTCTGTATTTATCTATTTAATGATCACATCCGTGTTATTTGTGCCGTGTGGCGGCTGTAAAAAGTCTCCCCGTACATTTAATCAATGATGTTATATTTTCGATCCTTGAAGATCGTTCAGCACGACATTATTGTTGTGCTTGTGGTATTTTTAGTTTCAACTTTTCGGCATTTTCTAGTTGGGTGGTTCCAATATTCCTACTTGAATAATGTTGAATCACCCTTAGGATATGTTGCCTGCTTTTAAATTTGTCTTTTGACGTCTTATCTGTGATACGCAGGCTTCATAACCTCTGATCCCCTTTCAAAATTCCATTTTATTTAGTTCCGCCCATTGTTTTCTCGTTTAGGGCACACGCTTTTTATTACTTGGGGACCATACGCCGCTTTTCATGGAATGGCACTGAAGTGTCACATTGAAGGTTCCATGATAACCGCCGTATGAACACATCTGCGGATGTTTCTAAATTCAAAATTTTACTATTTCATGTTTAAATGTTGAATTCTGCTTAAGCCGGTGCTAGGGGGCGTGGACGGTAACTTGCACATTCCAGTACTGTCCATGAACAGGCTCAATCA